CGTATGAGTGAGTACTGATGAGTAGGAAAAGACGAAAATATAGCGCGTGTTAGTACTTGTCAATGTGAGTCAGCGAGAGTATGAACGCGAGTCAGTACTCCCGAGTGTAATACCCCTTTCACACGTGGCAACTTAAGTGCACTTTGAGCGAGTGTACTTACGCTCGCGAAGTGTCATTTTGGCGGTTCGCTGCTACACGAGAAAGCGAAGTGTACTTTGGAAATGATGGCAGTGGTGATTGATGGATTTGTAGCACAACGTATATTTGTTATTTTTTTCGCCTGTGTCTCATCTTCGAACCACGTTGTCTTCGTAGAAGTAGCACCTGTGACACATCCTATCTTAGATTACTAGAGAAGAACTCACCTACACATGTGCAAGTGTACCTAAAAGTAAACAACGTGACGGATGCAGCCATTGCTGTGCTTCGAATACCCCTGCGGACGTGGCCGCGAACAGCTCGACGGTAAAAGTAGCGAGGTTATTGTTCTTCATTACTTGTTTTACACATAACAATATCCATCATAACCAAAACAATGGTTTAAATATAATATGAGCGCCACGTTAGGCAACATCGTTTTTCTGTAAAAGCCACTGGTACCGAGGCTACACAGTTCATCGCAGCCGTCGCAGTGAGGTGAGGTTCGGAAACGCACTTGCCGCCAAGTGTACTTTGCAGCGAGTGACACTAAACTTGCTTGTGTGACAGCGCGCCAATGGCACTAGCGGCTAAGTGAACTCGCTCAAAATGCACTTAAATCACTACGTGTGACAGGAATATAATTAGACGCGAATGTGAACGTTAGTGAGTGCTTGTATATAGGATCGTAAGTAGGCGTGACTATGAACGCGAGTGAGTGCGTAAGACTGTGAACAGGCGTATGTATGAACGTGATTAAGTGACTATCATTGTGAATAGTCGTATGAACACGAGTCAGTTGTCATGAGTGTGAGTAGATGTCTGTGTGAACGTGAGCGATCACTCATAAGGATGAGTAGGAGTCACAATTGAACGTGAGTGAGTTGAAAGGCTGAAGAAGTTGTGGCAGTGAAATTTAGAGAGCAGGCCCTTAAAGTGCCGACCTATGCAACTGAGACACTCGTTAGTTCGCACTCACATCTGTACCTGTGATTACGTTTCGTACGTCGTTCTTGTTAAAATAGCGCATTAAGCGTTGAGCTGTAAGATTTGTTTATTAGCTCTCGTCGTGTGTGCGTTATTTTTGTGCGGATGGATGGATGTGGCTGTACCCTTTAGATCGGGTGGCGGCTAACGCCACCTAGCCGTAATACTTAGTGAACTAACCATTACATTTATCTTTTTTTCCTTTAAATAATGAAGTTGAGGATTCGTACTTCGCAGTGAAGGGTTTAATTTTCACTCGTGCCTTGACTTTAGCCACCAATCAGATAACCTCCTTCTAGTTAAGTCTACCCGCTTAAAGTCTATTTTGCCCTCGCTGTCCCTAAATCCCAGTGCTTTGAAAAACTCTGCGCCATCATCCTGAACTATAGGGTGAAGCCCTTTACAGAACATTATCAAGTGTTCGGCAGTTTCTTCTTCCTCTCCACACGCACTGCATATTGTGTCGACCCCTTCGTATTTGGCCCGATATTTCTTGGTACGCAGTACTCCCGTCCTGGCCTCAAACAGTAGAGAACTACCCCGAGTATTATCATAGATCCTTTCCTTGGCAATTTCCTGCTTAAAAGTTCGATAGATCTCTAGTGCGGACTTCTTAATCATGCCCATTCTCCACATGTCAGTCTCCGTTTCCTTCACTTTTTTCTTAACCGATAGTTCTTTTTGGTTTGGCCACCTGCTGTTTTCTAAGTATTTACCAGTCAACTTCCTGGTTCGCTTCCTCCATTTTGTATCGACATTCTTCATGTACAAGTAGCTGAAAACCTTCCTAGCCCAACGCTCTGCCCCCATTTCTCTCAATCGCTTCTCAAATTTTATCTTGCTGCTAGCCTCCCTGCCCTCAAATGATGTCCATCCCATATCACTTTGTACTCCCTGATTTGGTGTATTCCCGCGAGCTCCTAAAGCAAGCCTACCTATTCCACGTTGCTTAATTTCTAATCTTGCTTGAACTTCTGATCTCATGCACAAGACCGCATTGCTGAACGTCCGCCCAGGAACCATGACCCCTTTCCATATTCCTCTCACAACATCATACCTATTGCAATTCCACAGTGCCCTATTTTTCATGACTGCTGCATTCCTGTTACCTTTAGTCGTCACGTATATTTCGTGTTCCCTCAGATACTCGGTCCCATTGCTTATCCATACGCCCAGATATTTGTATTTATCTGTCATCTCTAGCGTGACCTCCTGTATTCTAAGCTCACTACCTTCGTTGTCATTGAAAATCATGACTGCTGATTTTTCCCTACTGAATCTAAAATCTAACCTATCTCCCTCATTACCGCAGATGTCCATCAATCTCTGCAAATCTTCCTTGTTGTTGGCCATTAGCACTATATCATCTGCGTACATTAATGCCGGTAGTGCCTGATCAATAAGTTTTCCTTGTTTGACTAAAGAGAGGTTGAAGCCAAGTCCACTTCCCACTAATTTTGCCTCTAATCCTTGTAGGTACATCATGAATAATAAGGGTGACAGGGGGCACCCCTGCCTAAGCCCCCGTTTTACCTCTGCAGGCTTGGATACCTGTTTTTCCCACTTTATAACTACCTTGTTACCTTTATAGACACCCTTTAAAAGATTAGTGACTACATGTTCCACGCCTAGTGTGTCCGCTATTCCCCACAATTCCTCTTGAACCACGCTATCGTACGCTCCCTTGATATCCAAAAATGCTAGCCACAGGGGCCTGTGTTCTTTTTATGCTATTTCGATGCACTGCGTCAGTGAGAACAGATTGTCTTCCAACCTCCTGTGTTTCCGAAACCCATTCTGCAGTTCCCCCAGCACCCCCTCATCCTCTATTCACGCCTGCAGTCTTTCCTTTATAATCTGCATCGCCAGCCTGTAGACCACTGATGCCACTGATATCACTGTGTGCGTCATTTGTGCTTGAGCGCCCCACCGTGGTGGTATCTATCTATCTATCTATCTATCTATCTATCTATCTATCTATCTATCTATCTATCTATCTATCTATCTATCTATCTATCTATCTATCTATCCTATCTATCTATCTATCTATCTATCTATCTATCTATCTATCTATCTATCTATCTATCTATCTATCTATCTACCTGGCCGCCTATGACATTCAGCTCTCCTGGCCGTTTAGATAATGGTATCTATACGAAAATTGGTATGCCATAACATCAGTGTGTAACGAGCATAACTGGCTAGTCATAACATGAAAATTATGATGTCATAATTTACAATTCGCGGTCTTGCTGCTGTTGTGGTGGGTTCGTTTACATGACAAATAGCAAAACTGATATGATATTGGCACGTTAGTTCCTCGGGTTTTCTGATCAGCCTGTTACCCTGTACACAATTACCAGTGCTAACCACGCCAACATTGTTCGAGAACCTTCAGGACTGCAGTAGATCATTTTGTTGAGATTACACCCGGTTTGTGAGCATTTCAAATAATTCTGGAACCTACGTCGCCGCTATCCATAACGCTAGAATGTTCGATGGCAAGTGTATAAATGCCAGCATGCTTCGCCGCTTGTCAGTTGATCGGCGGCCGACGCTCAATTTGTTGATATCAGTGCCCACGACGTACTGTAATTTCAATATCCTTTTACGTGGCCACAAGTCTGGCGGAACAAGCAGCTTCATCTTCGACCTACTGTCTGTTCTCTTTGTCGTTATCAAGACCCCGTGACCATATGCCATGACTGCATGGCGAACATAAGTGACATACCCTAACGTGGAAATCATGACACGCATGTCATCTAAGTCATGACTACACGCCACGCTCATGGTGCTCTTGCGGTCGTTTCACTAGCTTCGCATATACAAAATTTTGTATTACGTGTCGTAAATGAAATGCGGAGTAATGAAACTGGTGCAAACATGATAATCATGAGATGCGTGTCCCGTAAAAACATGACAACATAGCATGCTCATGATGCACTCGTGACCCTTCCGCTAGCGTCACTTATACAAAATTTGGCATTATGTGACGTGCAAGGAACGTAGATGACACGTCCAAACATGATAATCATGACATGGGCGTCATGTAAAACATCACTACATGCTTCGCTCATGAGACGCTTGCGGCCGTTTTGCTGCCGTCACGAATACCAAGTTTGACATTACGGAACGTGAATGGGTGGCAAATTTGAATAGTGCGTCCAAACATAATAATCATGATATGCGTGTAATATAAAACATGACTACATGCTACGCCCATAGTGCACTCACGGCCGTTTCACCAGCTCCATATATACCAAATTTGGTATGACGTGACGTAAACAGAAGGCGAACTTATATGACACGTGAAAGCGCGATAATGATCACATGCTTGTCATGTAAAACTTGACTACAAGCTACGCTCATAGCGTGCTCGCGACCGCTTTGCTTGTTTCACATATAATAAATTTGGCATTAGGCGACGTGAATGAACGACAAACACGAATTCCTGACGCTAACATGATAATCATGACATGGAAGTGATGTACGGCGTAATGTACGTCCACCTTCTAACGTTGTGCTGATTTTAAAGAACATATGAACCTTCCTAATTCACGTTCGTACATCATAATTTCCCACTAAACGTAGGATCGGCCAATTTTGTTTGTCTACATCGTGCCCTCCCGAACTTTTAATTGCGCGCCATAAATGTCAAAATGTTTAGCACATGAGCTGAATTTTTTTTAGAACATTGGACATCAAATACAAAGTACAAAAAATGATCTCTGTTTAATTGCAGTGCACTGGATAAAGTTAAACTTGTTGAATTGCAATTGTCATCTTTGAGTACCTTGCCTGTCATTTCATAAGAATGATGACATGCATTACCTTCATTGCTGATAGATTTATTTGTTACGCATCTGTTATGCAGCATTGCAGCCCCAGGCCCTCGGTGAGGACGACTTCGAAAGGAATTTTCGCCATATAATTGACAGTAAGTGAACTTTAGCGCAAAGTCATAGTGCCGACAACTTCAAGGCTCAACACTCCACAAATTCTCACCCTAAAGACTAAATGTTTTGTCACATAAAGGAAAAAAATGAGGCAAACACGTACGTTAACTTTTGAACAATGACTGAAAATGAGTTTATTCCACTTTGCGCCAGGGTGCTGCAGTTTACAGGGAAAGGGGACTATAGCAGGTTAACTGTTGAAGATGCTCCCTGGGAGGGACTGAATCAATCGAGTAGTCGTACTATCATCAGTAACATTAGCATAGGACTAGCAACAGGTTGAGTTTTAGTAGTAGTAGCGCCGCATGCTATATATAAAGGGTGAATGAAATGTTGATGGGCGGTTTTCCCCTGTCACAGCTAGCAGTTTTATGTGGTCAACGCTGTTTTGCGTTATGAATGTGCTGCCATGGTCCTTGACGATGCCATTCAGCGTTGTCCACGCATGTCGAGGTATACCAAGTCAGTTTTTAGGGGAGAAACATTTAAAAGTCGGACGATATCCGCGATATAACTCGATGACGATAACGCTGAGGTTGATGAAAAACAAGCGCCTTCCAGATCAAGCTTTCTCTTTGCGACATAACACAGCACATTCTGGGTACACTCTAAGCCAAAAGAGAGCAATTGGACTATATGGGTTGCTCCTTTCAGGGAACAACGGCATTGCCACTCCCATTACTTCCCGAGAAGGAGTAACTGCACAGGGATGAACCGTTGCTCTTCTTTCAGTTCCTCCTTTGGAGAATGAACAGTTACTCCCTTGAGTTGCTCCTTGTGGACCAACCATTACTCCCACCAGTTGCTCCCTTAAGACCAACGGCTGTCTCGACTGTTACTCCCGCGTGTTCGCAGTTACTCTCTGAGGCCCAACTGTATATGCTTCCAGTTACTCCTTGGGGAATTGAATATTTATCTCGAGTATGCATGTCAGACGCTTAACACATGGCGAGAGCTCCTTGGCAGAGCCTTGCTTGGGCGCTTGTAACACAAAAAAGTGGATGAAATGAAAAGAAAAAGAAGTGCTTTATTGTTTTCTTTTTTTTTTGAGGCGACATGTGAGCACACGTAGAAGTAGTCTTCGCCACACCACAGCCAAAATTACCCGAGTGGCATAATACATCAAAAGTTCTGTGCATCTTCCGTGGAAAAACAATCTTTAACTCCCAGCATAGGGGAGTCTGTGTCATCATTGCAGAGAGAAGGGCAACTTCTCCAATGGTGAAGGACTCGAGTTGCGCAGGACTGGTGTTTCCATCAAGTTAGCACAGTGGCATGTCACCACAGGCATATGCGAAGCATCTCATTGCTGCAAGAGGAAATAGAAGTGTGAGGTTTAACATGCAAGAATCACTAGATAAGAATAAGTCACACACACATGCAGCAGCGTTCACATTCTAGGAAGTCTACTGCAAAACTAAATGTCAAAAAAAGTAGATTCAGTCAAATGTTACTTGGCAAGCCATATAAATGCTGATGGGGTGGACGCTCTTTACATGGTGTCTGTAGCCAAGATAGCAAGAATATTCAGAAAATGTGCAGCACTTCAAGAAGGCATTATGTTTGTAGCAGTTAAAGCGGTGTAGCAGTGTAGCAGTTAACTTGTTTACTATACACAGTTGTTTTCTATACACAGCGACAATTCTATGAGCCTGTTCACCAGTGGGCATTCTAAGTGAGATCATGTGTGGCAATTAACAGATACCGTCCGCTCATGTTTAAATATTGATTAGCTCATGAACATATTACTCTCGATTCACGTCTTTTATTTGAAAGAACTTGTTGGGCTAGCTGGTACAACTCTTCAAAAAATAAATCTAGCGTAAACACACGACACAATCACACTTACACACACCCCGGGTGTGTGTGTGTGTGTGTGTGTTTGAGTGATTGTGTCATGTGTTTGCGCTTGCTTTAATTTTGTAGAAGTCTTTTATTGAAACTAGTAATTTGATTGATTTTTGTTTTACTTGTGGTCACGCCGTAGGTACGGATGATTTTTTTCAACTTGACCCATTTAAATTGGAGACTCTCACACAATGTAAGTAAATCAATTACACAATGTAAGTAAATCAAGACTCTCACACGTAAGTGATTCTGTGCTGTAGATGAAACAAGTCAGGACTTGTTTTCATCTACAGTACAGAATTACTTACGTGATGGCACGTGAAGTGTATATTGTACATAAATATTTTTGTACTCTGTTCGCCCCATTCTGATGATACTTACACGTACATACATTGTACTGCCTAACATCGAATTTTCATGTTTTGTAATTTTTATTATTGTGATGTTACTATGTTTGCTCTTGGTTATAGTTATTTTTTCTGTACCCCACTCCCTTCTGTAAAGCTATGTGTGATTGAGGGTAAAATAAATGAAATGAAATGAAGTATCAGGTGTGTATACCTTGGATGCCTTGAACTTGTAAACTAGGCTGTGTAGTTTTTCGTGCTCTTCGTTAAACTGATGAATAAGTACCCCTACCTAATTCTGGCCTAGCACCGAAACGGGAACAATATCATCTCTATTGTCTGTAGTAGTACACATCCTGCTTACTCTACGTTAAGGCTCCATGCCGAGTTTTAATAGGTTGCCCTGCTAACTGTGACCACAGTTAAAAAATACGCTTATGCACACTACGGGAACAAATGCTTGTTGCTGTATACTGCAGGAGTAATTATTTTTTGTTTACTCTATTAGCGTAATAAAGCAAGACTAATTATGCAAGTTTGGAGTGATGAAGTTAGACAAAAAATTTTAATGAGATAGTTCCTTATGAGTTAGCCTTAATAGTTTAGCCTAAGATGCGTCTGACTAATTATGTAACCCGTCTGTGTAAAAGTATTATTGTACGGCTGGTTATCACAGATTTCAGAAAAATTGTCCTTCAATAAGAAATTACGCTAACTCGTCGCATGTATCCCCAAAAGGAGCAAGTCTATAAAATGACGCAACCAATATTTCATGGCATTCATTCTTCAGTATTCGTGTGAACGATGTGAAGGTATTTGATTATTCAGGCACTACAAATAGATCTCTGAAAAATGCTCACAAATTAGGTAATATGATATGTCCCTCATGCTCACAAATTCATATGTACATACAATGTTCCATCATCAGTCACCTTTTTTATATAGATGTGCCGCTGATTTCAATTCATTCATAATATTGCAATATACCTCTGGTTGCGTATGCCTTAGAATTTCTTGAAAATATGTGAAAAACCTTAATTTTTTCTGCATGTAATCACACGCTGTATACTCCACGTTTCTTTGTCAGAAAAGTAATTTAAAAGAATTCCGCAGATCCCATGACGTGTGGGAATTGTTTTCATGAAAATCCCTCAGTGAGTAGCAATATGATTCATTTTTTCGGCTTTCACCCAGGCGTTACAAGGTGGATCAGCGAGTCTTTTTAAGCGTAGTAATAGTTTTGTGAACATTGTGGGCTTATCAACAGGCACTTCGACAACAGTGACAACTAAATGTTTTTTTTATGTTTAAGTAAAGTTTGCACGCACTTTAGAGCATATATGCCAGTGCTCAGAGGACATAAACGTGAATATTATAATGTTACGAGAGAGGCACTACCGGTCTCTTGGGTAGTGCGTTGCCAGGGCCAACCTCCAGCTGGAAGCATCCAGGCAGTGGCAAGATAATAAGTAGCCAGAAGGGAACAAAATGTTTATATTTACAACGTATGTACAAAAGGTAGAGGAGGAAGCCACCGACGCCAGGTGCGCCGAGACGCTCGAGGAGGAGGGTGCAGCACCGCCATTGACACGCATCCAGCGTCTCTGTGGGACGCGCCCAGTGGCTCCGACGGATGCATTTAGCGTTTCTTAGAGGAAGGCCAGAAAGGAGGGCGAGATAGCACTGCCCAACGCGTAGCGTGTTCATAACAGTATCTCCGCATTGGTGGCAGTGATAGAGTTTCCTAATATGCACTAGAGGGAACTCTGGTGCTTGTGTTTATGGGAGCTTGGGTGCCTCGAGGCACGCACTTCCGCTGAGGGTGCTGCCACGTTTTGTACTGCTGCCCCCAACATTTTAGTGCCTGCAGCGTCTTCGCCAAGCTGTAGAGCTCATGTCCTGCTTGCTTCGGTAGGTTTAGTCTGCATGTTGAGTTCCTCGGGGCTAAAACCATTTACATTGAGCTACTAGGCCACTACTCGCCAGAGTACAACCTGTGGGCAGCGGTAATAATAGATGTCGTCACTCTGAGTGAAGGAGCGGGCATTGAGGCACTCTGATGGGAGATGCAACGCACGGCGCTTCAACGAGCATGGGAATGATGGGTAGTACACCGATTTGTCTAATCTTCGTATCTCTGGCCTGCTTCTGGCTCCGTGCGTGTTAAGTGGCTTCAGGCTCTTTTGTCGCGAAACAAAGAAAATGGTAGATACCACGTGCAGTGGGAATCGATTATATGCGAAGCACGAACGAAAGGGGTCGATACGTGACTCTAAAATCAGGACAACGTCACAAGGTGGAGGTGAATGATGCCGTGCATGACTTCCTTGTAATGATTATCATGTTTGGATGTGTCGCTTACCTTCGAAATCTACTCACGTTACGGGATACCAAATTTAGTATATGTGAAGCTAGTGAAACCCCTGCGAGCACACTATGAGCGTTGTAAGCTGTCATGTTTTTACATGACTGCTTACAACGCTCATAGTCATGTTCAGACAGGTGTGTCATGTTCTTACATGACAAACCTGTCAGGATTATCATGTTTGCAGCATTCATATATTTCTTCATCCATTGACGTCGCGTAACACCAAATTTGGTATATGTGGAGCTAGCAAAACGGCCGCGAGCGCATCATGAAACGTGAGCACTGTATAGTCTGATGCCAGGCGTGACCAGCGCGACCAGCGTCTGTCGGCGCGGCCCGACGGCAACCGACGTGAAATGCGAAATGCTGCATTTCGTACCGATGCGTTTCTCAGGCAACACCGCATAGCCCTCTTTTCGTGACGGAAGGACGCTGAACGCGCTGAAACGTGCATGCGTCAAAGTAACGCAGCGCGGTGTAGGTGAAAACGTATTTATTTATTTACTTACAGGAAATTTTCTGCGGAGAAGCTCCGAGTAGTGGAGATGCTTGGCTTGCGGTGGGGGCCCTTAGTCCAGGGCTCCACTTGCAGCAGCCGCTCTACAGGCCCGGTTGATCAGACTCAACTGATCTTCCAGGTTCTCGCTAGCCAGCAGCTCCTCCCATCGCACCAGTGTTGGATTTTGTACTGGTTGGAAGGCTGTAATGGCCTGACACTCCCACGTGACGTGCTACAGAGTGGCTTTAGCTGAACACCATATGCAGAGAGGAGAATATGCCGTGGGGTGCATTTTACTCAGGATGTGCAAATTTGGAAACGTGCCGGTTTGAATTTGCCTCCTGCTGACCGATTCCTCTTTATTTAGTGTTCGGTGTGGTAGCGAATAAGCTTTCCTAAGTCCTCTGTAATCGTTTAGGATGGCCGAGTAGTCGCAAGGGACCAGAACGAGATCCTCAGGGGCGGAGTTGGAAGGTGCTCGGCTCGCATACCCTCGGGCTATCCTATGCGCTGACTGATTCCTCTCCAGTCCCATGTGTCCCGGAGTCCATATAATCCGATGCCAAATTCTGCGTGGATGTGTAATGGAATGCTCGCCAGTGTCTGTAGCGCTCAGGATGACGATGAGAGCGGGTTGGCTGATGCGCCCCTGTAGGTAGTTGCGGCAAGCTGCTTGAGAGTCCGTGTGACTGTCAGTGACCTTCGTTGTCTGTAGCCGAGGGCGAGAGCGAGCGCGATGGCAGTTTCTTCAGCCTCGGTGATGTTGTGGCAGCGCACGGAAGCGTTTGTACGTTCTGTGAGTGTGTGGTCCACGACTGTGGCTACTGCCTTATTGTTTGCATAGTTGTAGTTGGCGGTGTCAACATAATATGTAGTGTTCTTGTGTGCATGAGTTCGCTTGAGGGCTTCCACTCTCTCTTCCCACCGGCCCTGATGTAGTCGGGGATCCATATTGCGGGGGATGGCAGCGACCTTATAAGTGGCACGAAGTTGGTCCGGAATGGGCTTGCGACGAGCTGCGTCATGAAACTGGCTGATGTAGCCAAGGCTAGGAGCAGGTTACGGTCTGTAGGTGTTTGCGTGAGCCGCTTCAGTTGTGTGGCGAGTTGCGCTTCACAAAGTTCTTCGAAGGTGTTGTGTAGACCCCCCCCCGCGTCTCTCATAATCATATAGTGGTTTTGGGACGTTAAACCCCACATATCATGTTGTGTAGACCCAAAGCGAGTCGCTTGCTAGAGGGGGTGCCTGGTGGTAGCTTGAGTGCCGCTTTGTAGGCCTTGCGGAGCATTGCGTCTACTTGGCCCTGTTCGCTTTTGGTGAGGCGTTGGTAGGGCGAACTGTATGTCACCTTACTGACCAGGAGGCTACGTATAAGTCTCAGGGTGTCCTCCTCGTGCATGCCATGGCGATGAGTGGCTACCCGAGATATTATTCGGGCCACTTGCAGTATAGTGGTGTGGAGAAGGGAAAGTGTGTGATTCACATGGCAGTTCGACTGTAACCAGTTGCCTAATATTCGAACGGTGGATTCATCTGGGATTCATTTGCCAGCAAGGACGACCTGGAGGCGGGAGCCTTGGTTGTTCTGCGCCGATGGTGGGAGCTTGCGTCGATAAATTCGTAGAAGCTCAGATTTTTCTGTTGCACAGGCCAGGCCTCGTGCCTGCGCGTATTGTTCGACCCATGTGGCTGCCTGCTGCAGGTTATATTCTTTTTCTCCAAGGGACCCCTGCGTGGCCCAGACGGTGATATCGTCCGCATACATTGCGTGATGGATGCCATCGATGCGGTGGATTTCATGTGCCAGGCCAACCCTAGCTACATTAAAGAGTAGCGGGGAAATCACTGAGCCCTGTGGGGTGCCCATGTTTAAAACCCTGATAACATGTGATCGGATGGAGCCGAGACCGACTGCGGCAGTGTGGTCCGACAAGAAGGCCTGAACATAACTGTAGACGCACTGCCCACAATGAAGAGCC